TGGTGGTGGGGAAGAAGATATAACAACTATACTTTCATGAAGTTGTTACAACAAGCAAACGGAAAGGACATTCTTGGGGGGGAGGGGAGAGAGGGAGGAGGGCGGGAGGTGTCGGTGATGGGCCATAATAATCATATACAGTGTATATTGACAAAATAAAAATTTAACAAAAAATAAATAAAAAAAAAAGAACTTACAACCATAATCGTAATTCCATAAAAATAATAATATTTATACTTGCATAGAAAAAAAAAAATAAATTGTTCCTCTCAAATGGGCTTCATGAACCAAGACAGGAGGTTACTCACTGGTCAGGATCAGAACCAGACTCTCTGACTCTCAGTACTGTTTTTCCCCTGCCAGGAAGCCTGTCTGTGAGGCTCTAATTGAACAAAGCGCAACTTGGAAAATTCAGCTTAGGACTTCATTGCCGTCTGGGTTGGTAACACTGGCACAGTGACAACCATGGAAAAAACACTGGTATGAAACAAGGATGAAGAAACTTAAAAGTATGAAATACAGTAGAAAATATCTTCTCTCTTTTATTTTTTCCATGCACAAAGGTTATCTCTTTTTAAGACCCAGAATTCAGGCAGTTCTCTTGAACTGAAGACAGTTCCCTCAGAATGTGGCAATAGGGCAGCTTGAAAGATAATGAACTATGGCATCAAGTAGACCACAGTTCACACTCCAGCTCAGCCACTTCCTAGTTGTATTGACTGTGGGCATTATTTTGCTCACTTAGAAAGTGGAGTGACTTATACCAGCCAGGGTCGTTTTAAGGAAACAGGTGCGCTGGTTAAAATGTGGTTAGCATAGCACCTCTTCCTCTTCCTAAGAGTCTCAGTGAACTAGCTGTATTCTTCTACACTTCCACATTGTTACTGGATTATTAGCGAGGACATGTGTAGATTTTTATATCGCCATGGCACGTGTACCATAGATTGCTGATGTCTGTTGTATGCACATGCTATATATGTCCTTAGAAGAACTCAATTTCTACTTTAAGTAAATTGACTGTCATTATGATGCCCCTAAGGTATTTTTCAGTGGACAGTGAATATCAAAATTAAAGGAAAGCCAAGGTACAAAATAGAAAAAGACCTTCACACAAGTTTTAGTACACAAAGGGACTTTTTTTTTAAATGTTATCATTCTCTGCCCCCCACCCCTGTTGGCTGGCCAGTAGGGGAACTGAACCCATGACCTTGGTGTTACAAAACCCTGCTCTGACCAACTGAACTAAGAAGACAGCCAATATTATCATTTTTTATTTAGTATAGTTCTTTTTAAGAAGTGGGCATATACCAGTGTCACAGAGATTGACAATTATTAGTTTGGTGTCTTATTGACTAACAGGTAGAAAGTTAAAGTGCAAAATTAGGGGTTTTTTTAAGACACCTAGTAGAAAAATACTATGTAATAAAAAGAATGTGTTAAATAAAATTCTCATTTCAACATTTGTTATTATCTGGTTTTATTATTTTTATGAATTTTTACTCTGAAAACTTTTTTTTAAAGTCAGGAAGAATGATAACAGTACATTTTATTTTTTAGGCCTATAATAGGTCCTGCATTGCCACCTGGTTTTATTAAATCTACACAGAAAAGTGACAAAGGCAGAGATGATCCAGGACGACAAGAATCATCGTATCTCAACTCTGAGGTTTGGAAAGTTTTTATTTAAAGAAGATGTGGGCTGGCCAGTTAGCACAATTGATTGGAGCATGGTGCTGATAACACCAGGGTCCCGGGTTTGATCCCTGTACTACCAGCAGCCAAAAAGAAAGAAAGAATAAGATGTAACAAATTCAAAACTTTGTGTAGTAGTAACTACAATCATTTGACTAAAATGTAATGTAAGACTCAGTTATATTCAGATTAATTTAAAATTGTAACATAGATGAAATCAGAAGCTGTTCATAAACCTGAGATTCTTTTAGAAAAATAACAAGGTTGACAGGGTGCTGTTGCCTCTTTATACTTCTTATCTTTGAAGGGAGACATCAAAGTTGTTAGAAAACTCAAACATGCTGAAAAGCTTAAGGAGTCATTGTGATATGACCAACAGGAGAGAAAGCTGAGGAGCTCTTTAATATCTTTACCTTGAACTCTCTCCTACCCACCTCTGGTACCTGTATATAACAGATGTGCTGGCGGATAAGTGATTTTATGAAAGGATAGATCAAATGATCTTGATGTAATGTATGAAGGCTATTTTTCCCCTTAACAATAGCTGAGATTTGCAGAGTTCTTTATAATTTATAATGCATTTTCCTTGCATGTGGATCTTCTTTTTATCTTCCCCACAGTCTCATGAAAGTTATCTGCATCTTATATTTTGGCAGATATGCATAGCCCATGCATCTTGCAGATGCTTAAGACCAGAGAAATTGGGTATCTGCATCTTCTATTTTGGCAGATATGCATAGCCCATGCATCTTGCAGATGCTTAAGACCAGAGAAATTGGGTAACTTACCCAAGATTATACAGTTTTTACATAACAAAGCCAAGGCTCCAACCCAGTTCTGATGATTTTAAATCACCTGTTCGGTCTGTTATACTGCAGAGCCTTTCTATATATAGAATTCATGTAATCGAGAGACTCCCATTCATCTCCACTGAGAATTCAACAGTTAACACTGAGGTTGTTACTGAAAGGAAATATATATAATGCATTGGTTAAGATCATGAACTTTAGAGTCATTTATTCATTCTTTCCACAAATGTTTATAGAGCACCTGCAATGTGTCAGACACATAGTTACAGAAATGAATTTTTTAACAAATTCTGTTGTTCCTACCTTCAGAACACATCCAGAATTCAAGCACTCCTGCTCCTACCCTGGACCAAGTGACATAATATCTTACCTCTTTTATAGGTCTTCATGCTTTATTTAGCCTTTGCCCTTCTGGTCCCTCCTCTCAACAGAGGAGCTACAGGGTCCAGATGAAACAAAGTCAGATCACGTCATTAACACTCAAAACCACCAAATTGCTTCTCTTCCCTCTGAGTAAAAGCCAAAGTTCTTGTAGGGCCCAATACAATCTGGCCTCCATTCGCAGTTTGATTTTATCTTTTGCTTTGATGTGACCACACTGGGCTAAGTATGAGGAATCCTTTCTAATAACATGGGTGTTAAATACAAGAATAAATTACTCAAAGACAGACTTCCAGCCATTTGGAAGACTTAGCTGACATCATCAGGCTTGGCTCTCCCTGCCACAAACACAAAGAAGTGCTGGGGAAAAAATAAAATAGCAACAAAGTTAGAGTACAGCTAAGCTCAAAAGGAAGAAAGAGAAATCCACAGGTACTAATAACATTGAGAGAATTCAAACCCAGAGCACGAGTTTACACAGCAGGGGACTACAGTAGTTTTAGAGAACTCAGTCGTAAGTCCTGGAGGATTTGGGTCTGGGGACAGAAACCTTAGCTTCTGCCCCACTCAGGCAGAGGAGACTGAATTGTGCCCCCTGTATAAAATACACAACTTCAAAATTCTGTTGTCTGTAATAAAAAGGACTAGCAAAATGTAATCCACTGTCAGAAAAGTGGTAAGGAAGTTTGCTTCAATCTAGGGCCTTCTCATGCTATCTGTAATCTGCTTTCAAATGGTCGGGGGGGGCCGCCCGTGGCTCACTCGGGAGAGTGCGGTGCTGATAACACCAAGGCCCCGGGTTCGGATCCCATATAGGGATGGCCAGTTGGCTCACTGGCTGAGCGTGGTGCTGACAACACCAAGTCAAGGGTTAAGATCCCCTTACTGGTCATCTTTTTTAAAAAAAAAAATGGTCAGGGGGGAAAAAATGTATGTCTGATGTGTGTCTGTCTTATGGGGGGGGTGGCGTTAGCAATCGATGAATCTGAGTGAGGATACATGGGTGTTCATGCTGACAACACCAAGTCAAGGGTTAAGATCCCCTTACTGGTCATCTTTTTTAAAAAAAAAAATGGTCAGGGGGGAAAAAATGTATGTCTGATGTGTGTCTGTCTTATGGGGGGGGTGGCGTTAGCAATCGATGAATCTGAGTGAGGATACATGGGTGTTCATGCTGACAACACCAAGTCAAGGGTTAAGATCCCCTTACTGGTCATCTTTTTTAAAAAAAAAAATGGTCAGGGGGGAAAAAATGTATGTGTGATGTGTGTCTGTCTTATGGGGGGGGTGGTGTTAGCAATCGATGAATCTGAGTGAGGATACATGGGTGTTCATTGTACTCCGCACTTTTCTGAAATAGGTCTGAAATTTTTTAAAACAAAAAGTTGAGAAAATTTTTTCAAGGATGTAGCATAATTTAGCTTTATTCACACTTGGAATTTTGTTAGCAAATGGGTAGTTTATATAATTTCCTAGGTGGTACACATTCTATATTCTCTAGCTTCTCTTAGCAAAAGGTGATGGGTAAGTGTGGGTCAGGGATTGCAGTTGCATACACACCTACTTAAGGTACTCTTGGTTCTGAATTGTTTTCTGTATAATTTCCCTTAAACCTTTTTCAAAAGACACTTCTTTTTCAGTTTTCAGATTTTTGTTTCTCAAAGAGGGGCTTCTCTTATTCTCTCATTCACAGCATGTACATTCAAATTAAGACATTCACGATAATACACATAACATTTGTTGAGCATTTACCGCATGCCAGGCACTGTAAAGCACAACACCAGCATAAACGTAATCTAATCTAAACAACAACCCTGGGAGGTCATGTATTTAGAATGCTTTCAGCTGCAAATAACAGAAAATCCAACTCCAGCAATGCATTGTTTCCTTTTTGTTTTATTGCCTATGGGTAATCAGTTTCGGTTAAATTTAAGTAATTTAGGATCATTTTTTATAACCTATAGCTCTGGCTAGGCTGAAAGTAATGTCTTGTTTTAAAAGGAAACAGATAGCAGTGAAGATGAGGACATTGTTGGACCAATGCCTGCAAAAGGACCAATTAACTATAGTATAACGACAGAGTTTGAAAAAAGGGCCCAGAGAATGAAAGAAAAACTGACTAAAGGAGATGATGTAAGTTTTATAGACACTTTACTCTAAGAAATAAACTAATAGATTAAAAATCTAAATTTTAGGGCCGCCCGGTGGCGCACTCGGTAGAGTGCGGCACTTGGGAGCACGGTGGCACTCCCGCCGAGGGTTCGGATCCCATATAGAGACCGGTCCGCTCACTGGTTGAGCGCGGTGTGGGCGCGACACCGAGGGTTGCGATCCCGTTGCCGGTCCTGGTACGGGCGCGACACCAAGGGTTGCGATACCGTTACCGGTCACGAAAAAAGACAAAAAAGGGGAAAAAAAAATCTAAATTTTAGAAAACATTAAAATATATGTATATTTTAATATATATTCTTTATCTATGTTGTGTGTGTGTGTGTGTGTGTATATATATATATATATATATATATATGAAAATTTAAGAGCTAGATAACTCAGAAACTACAAAGGAAAAGATTGGCAAATATTTCTACTGAAAAGATTTTGTGCAGCAAAAACAAAGTCAAAAGAATAACAAATTGGATGAAAGTATTTGTAACATACGAGGGTACTTCAAAATAGAGTTGTGGAAAAATAGAATTAAAAGGTAATACGAATCTTTCCATGAACTTTTGGAAGAACCCTCATATATGACAAACATGTGACAGAAACACCAATACTTTCTTTCAACAAGAGAGTCATGGATGACTGAGCTTCCTCCAGAAATGAAAGACTTTGGTCTTGGGCCAAGGACTTTTAAGAGAAGAGCTGATGACAGGTCTGGAGATCGATCAATCTGGACAGATACTCCAGCTGACAGGGAAAGGAAAGCTAAGGTGAGACGGTTTGTTTGTTTGTTTGTTCATGTATTTCTGTCCATGTTGACTCAATTTGGGAAAGATATTAGCAGAATTATTTAAGGGTACTGTTTTTTTTTATTGTGATTCTCAAGGAAAATAAAGATTATTTTTTCTTTGAAGGAAAGTTATGAGGAAGGAAAGTGACACCAGTTGCTAGCTATTTGCTTACAATTTCCCAATAAACTGTCGCATTTAAACCTTACAAAAACCCTGAGACTTAGGTTTAGTGACCTTATTTTTTAGAGGGAGAAACTAACCTCCATGAGGTCAACTTTTCTAGGGTCACAGGGCTGATAAGTGATGAAAAAGAATTCCATTCTAGACCTTTCTAACTCCAGATTCCATGGTCTTTATACAAAATTATACTATCTTCATGAAAATGTATCTTTTTAAATATCTTGAAAAAAAACCAAAGCTGCAGGTTAACCTAGAAAATTAAATGATACGTAGAACTCTCTCTTAAAATGTCCATATCTCAGGTACACTAAGCCTTATGTTACTGTCAAGATAGCCAAGAAGCACCTTTATTAATACGTTTAATAAATTACAAAAAAAAAAATCTGTATTCATAAAATATGTTATTTTTTTATTTTTCTCTTCTTGAATCTTCTGTTTATTATGAAATATTCCATTATATGTTAGGAATTGAACCAGTGTCCCCAGCACTACTCTTTAAATTTATTTCAACTAAAGGTTTTAATTTCCTTAAGTTGTCCTATGCAAGGCTTAAGTGCTTGACTCATTGTCACCTTGTGATTATAACTTCATCAGTTCTGATCTAAATAGTTCCACACTTAATTCAGCCTGCTAACTCTGGTTATCTTGTTCATTAGTACCTAGAGTTATCAGGATTTCTGTTTTCATTCTGTAACTATGTATTAAATACCTATTCTGCCAGGCATTGTTTTTGATTTCAGGTGATAGAAAGATGAAAGAGCTCTTTAAGGAGCTTTCATTTTAGTGGAGAATAGGTTGTGAAATAGACCGTGTTATTCTTAAAATGTGGATGGTATGTTGAAGTCTCCACATTTAGCATCCTACCTGTATATTTCGCAACATGGTGAGTTCTCTTGTGTCCTGAAGATTAATGAAATCTGATATTTTTAATAGAAAGGTGAGGCGAACCAACACACATGGGGGCAAAAGAGATCACAAAGTCTGTAACTGGGCCTCAGTCTTTGAAAGACTAGTGCTGGAATGCCCATCCATTCTTTCTTAGCTGTTTTTTTTATAAAAATAATAACGGGTTTTTATAATTTAGCCTTTAAGATTGTCTTCAAAAAGACAATTCCCTTGCTTATGTGGACTTTTTATTTGTGCCTGTGTTTATTAGTTCTTTGATTTTTATCCTTTGATCCTCATTGAATAGATGTCTAGCCTACAGCCAGATAGGCAGGGACTCTTCCTCAGAGAAAAAGATAACAGAAAAGTTAATCTAATGGAAACTAGGCCATACAGTTTGAACCTTATTAAGCGATTTTAATCCCTGTGATGAGTTCTTTAGACCTGGTCATTCTTTTCAGTGCTGAAATGTTTTGTTCAGTATTTACAGTGGATACAGTGGACTCATAAAGGGATTATTAATACCTCTTCAGTTTGATGTAATACTATAGTACAGCATATAATACTATAGTCTTAATATTTATGTCACAAACTATAAGAATATAGTACCACAGAGCTGTTTGTTTTCTGGTGTCCTTGATTCTGTGTAAAGTTCATGACTAATTTTTGTAACAGAGCTTAGCCAGGTTTTCTTTTTGATAGATTTTCTCCACTTCATCTTTCTTTTTATGTTCCTCAGCACACATCTCTCGTACCTCTAATGTTCTCACATTCATTTAGCCAACATGGCCTTTAAGAAGTAAGATTGCTCTTTAGAAAGAAATGAAAATGTTTTACATAAATTAATTGAATGAGATCTGTTGGGTCCTCACCTCCTAGTCTTGACAAGAAATTAGCTATTCCTGTGTTTTTAATGTACTTTATTAAATACAGTGTTGTTTTAGTTCATCATTAAGGTAAAACTTGTATGAGAGCTGCCTTGGTTTTCCTAAGCAAATTACAACAGTATAAAAATATGCTTTGAGAACAACAGTTTTCAATCATTTTTATGTGGGCCTTCCTCATTCCTGGTTGGGAGTATGTTCTCTAGAATATCACTGTAACATTTTTTCTGATTATAATTAGAAGTTTACCTAAGTGCTTCATTTTTGCATGTGTGCTATTGTAAATGATATTTTTGTTTTGTTTTGTTTCAAATTCCAGTTGTTCATTGCTGGTGTATTTGTATATTGACATTGTATCCTGCAGTTTTGCTATACTTTATTATTAATTCCAGGAGTTCTTTTGTAGATTTGTCAGGGTTTTGTACATAGATAATCACGTCATCTGTGAATGAAGACAGTTTTTTTTTTTTTTCAATATGCACACGTTATTTATTTTTCTTTGTTTTCTTCCCTTGTGTGGTTTTACTATTTTTGAAAAAAGATAATGTAGGATTTGTTTCTATCCCTTATTTTCCCTCATACATTTCATCACTGTTAATCAAAACTCATCCTGAGTTCCAGCTAGTCTATTAGATGGGGTTTTTGGATTTTTTCTTATTTTCAGAGAAATCATAGACTAGAACACTAATTGACCCTTTTTCAGTACTAATATTTCTAACTGGAAGAGATTCAAGAAGCCTGGCTTAGTTTAGTCTTTTGTTACTTAATCTAAGTAAAAATAATAGTACAACATTTCTTTTTTATTTAATCTTAATTACATGGCTCAGTAATATGTTATCTGTGTTCATTTCTCAGGAAACACAAGAAGCAAGGAAGTCATTCAGTAACAAGGATGAAGAATATACATTGACAGGAAGGGATAAGAGATTGGCTGAGCAGGTATCCTCATACAATGTAAGAAAATAAAATATATAATTTTTTTCTATCTTTTAATTCTCTTCTCATATTTTGTCTTTTCTTATTTCTCTTTCTTTTGTGTCTGACTCCTTACCTCAGATATTTTCTATACATCTGTCCTGAAAAATACTCTGTTGTGTATATTTACTTATATAAAATCCTTCTATGCATTTCATGTAATTTTTTTTTTTGTATCATTATACAATGTAAACATTTTTTGTGGCCCTTTACCAATTTCCCCCAACCCCCCTCCCTCATGTAATGTTTTCAATTTGTATCTTAAGTCATATATCAGAAATTTAATTACTAGTGATAGGTAGCACTTGATCAAAAAGCAAGAGTTCTACTAACTCACAGAGATCCTAAGTTCATAAGTTTTTAAATTATAAGCAAGTTTGGAATATTTGATGGAAAGATTTAAAAATGAGAGAAAAATGTTTTTAAAATATAGTCCAATTTAAATTTATAACCTACACAGGTCAATATTCACCTGGCATATTATTTTTTGTTATATTCTCTCTTATTCTTAAAAAACTGGTGATTATTCCTGCTCAAAGAATAAATGTAAATTACTGAACCCATTGGCCCCTGCCACATGTTCAGGAATTTAGGAAAATTACCTTCTGTTCCCAATATATTAGTTAATGAAAAATTCTGTAAACATTAAAATATAGTTAGCTTGATATATTGACTAATAGCACAAATGGTGAAGCATACATGAAACATTTTTGGAAACTGACCAAAAACTTGACTGATATGGAATATTTACGAAAACAGAACAGCTCAAAAGTCAAAAATTAAAAGAATGACTATCATTCAGACCATGTTCTCTAACCACAAGGAATTCAAATTAAAATTCGGAATAACTTAAAAGCACTATGCAACTGTAAATTAGAAAAATTCAAAATCGAGTTTTGCATCAAAGAAGAAATGATAATGGAAGTTAGAAAATACCTTTACCTGACAGATAACAAAAATACAACATATCAAAATGTGTGGGAGGCTATATAAAGAAGTATTTAGAGGCAAAATTTATAGCCAAATGAGTTATGTTAGAAAGGAAAAATGGCTGAGAATTAATAAGCTAAACCTTTTTTCAAACTGGCATTTCTTATCAAGCTAAACACACACCTACACTATGATCCAGCTATTCCAATCCTAGATATGTTTACTTAAGACAAATGAAAACATGTCTACACAAGGAGTTGAACATGCTTTATTCATAATAGCCTTAGAAGGACTTATACAAGAATGTTCATAGATACTTTCTTCATAATAACTCAATACTGCAAACAGTCCAGGTGTCCATCAATAAGAGAAAGAAAAAACAAACTATGATATAAAAAGAAACACTACTCAGCAATAAAAGGAACGAATTACAAATAAATGCAGCATGGAAGAATCTCAAAGTCAATATGCCAAGTGAAAGAAATCTTACACAAGCAAGCGCATACTTAACAACTCTGTTTATATGGACCAAAATGAGTCTATGATGGAAAAAAATTAGAATGGTGGTGGCTGGAGTAGGGATGTGGGGTGTGACTAGTAAGTGGCATACAGACCTTTCTCCAATGGTGGAAATGTTCCAGATCTTGATTGGAATTTGAATTATAAAACTCAGTGAATGTGCACTTAATATTTTTGCATTTCATTGTAAGTAAATTTATCTTAAAAGAAAAAATTTGTAAACAGATATTGAACTTTAGTTGATGAAACGCAGGCTGAAGTATTTAGGGGGACATGCAATGACATCTGCAGTTGACTTTAAAATGTATCCCAAGGGCCGGCCCGTGACTCACTTGGGAGAGTGTGGTACTGATAACACCAAGGCTGTGGGTTTGGATCCCTATATAGGGATGGCCGGTTAGCTCACTTGGGAGAGCGTGCTGCTGACAACACCAAGTCAAGGGTTAAGAGCCCCTTACCGGTCATCTTTAAAAAAAAAAAAATGCATCCCAAAAGTTAGGGTTCCAATCTTATGCTGAAATTTTGGTTACTTATTGTGAGATCTACTTTCAAAATATCAATATAGTCTTAAGACTAACACACTCTATAACCCTTAGCTTTTGATAAATTGAACACTCATTAAAATACTACCGTAAATGGGGCCGGCCCAGTGGCGCACTGGATAGTGCACCGCTTGGGAAGCGCGATGGCGCTCCCGCCCGAGGGTTCGGATCCCACATACAGACCGGTTCCCGCTCACTGGCTGAGCGAGGCGCGGGAGCAACACCGAGGGTTGCGATCCCGTTGCCGGTCCCGGTCCAGTACGGGGGCAACATTGAGGGTTGCGATCTGTTGCCGGACACGGAAAAAGACAAAAAAAAAAAATACTACCGTAAAGACAAAATTAAAAAAATCAACTAGAAACTTAGCATGATTTCACGCTTGCACCTCGCTCAGCCAGTGAGCGGGAACCAGTCTGTATGTGGGATCCAAACCCTCGGCAGGAGCGCCATCGCGCTCCCAAGCGGCGCACTGTAGCAGTGCGCCACCGGGCCGGCCCCCAGCTGGCAGTTTTGATTCACTAAATCTATGATGGGACTCAGGAACCCATATTTCTTTTCAGCCAGTCACGGGTGGAGACCAGTGGTCTTCAAGTATTTTTACTTGGTATCTCCTAAAAGAATTTTTTTTAACTATGTATTTTTTACTTGACATCTAAAAATTTTCATCATAGGTTTCAGTAGTTACCAATGGTATAATTTATAACATATTATTATTTTAAATGTTTCAAATTTGAATCTTAAATGCCATAACAATTCAATATCTACTATAATCCATTAAAAAAATAGATATCAACATGAAGCACTTCCTTCACAGTTGGAAATTTTATTTCATCCTTTTTTCACCCTGAATTCATACTCTTCTCTTCTGCTACAGAATTTTATCCTAATGAAATTCACTTTTACTCTTGAGAGTCATTTATGATTATATCAATAAATCATATTTCACTGTAATAAAAATATGCACATAAATTGAACTGAAAAGTTTTCATTTCCTGTATCTATGTCTTTAAATGTCAATATATTTTTTTCGTGTGGATTAAGTTGTAATTTCAGTAGATCAAACCAATGTAAATACATTGTAAATTTTGATAAGTAATTACTAAGCATAAAAAAAAATGTTAGGATAATTGTCTTATATTTATGTCCCTTTACATTTAACAAAGAAGTACAACATAAATTGGGCCGGCCCGGTGGCACACTGCTACAGTGCGCCGCTTAGGAATGCGGTGGCGCTCCCGCCGAGGGTTCAGATCCCACATACAGACCGGTTCCCGCTCACTGGCTGAGCGAGGGGCGGGCGCAGCACCGAGGGTTGCAATCCCGTTGCCGGGCCCGGTCCGGTACGGGCACGACACTGAGGGTTGCGGTCCGTTGCCAGACACGAAAAAAAACAAAAAGGAGAAAAAAAAAAGTAAAATGGAAATTTTTTATTTATTTTATTTTTTTTAATGACCGGTAAGAGGTTCTTAACCCTTGGCTTGGTGTTATCAGCACCACACTCAACCAGTGAGCAACCGGCCATCCCTATATAGGATCTGAACCCATGGCCTTGGTGTTATCAGCACCGCACTCTCCCAAGTGAGCCACGGGCTGGCCCTAAAATGGAAATTTAATTTAATCTCTTAATGAAGAGATATCTTTTTTCTCAGTTAGTTCCTAGTCTTTGTATGAATGTACTTATTGCTAGAATAAGACAGATTTCAGCATCAATCGTGTTCTTTTTGTTTGTTTTTATAGTTCTAAGAGTTAAGAAGCCAAGTTTACACAAAGAAGTAAACTCATTTTATTATAGTGATATCATTCAATTCTTTGAACAACTTATTTCTTAAACCTTGTATTGATCTATTAAAAAAATACTACTAATGATCTAATGACCTCTCAGCTGTCAGTCATTAGTTTCTCCTATTTTTTTTCCACGTTGGTTACATTAATATGTCTTCTTATTCTTTCTTTTCAAATCAGTATAGTGGGAATAATAACTTTTAACTTACAGCGATATTGTGAGGGTTACAATATAGTAAATGCTCAATAAATCTAATACTTAGCATTTACTGAGTGATTCTTATATACCCAACACTGTACTAAATCCTTTGTGTTCATTAGATCTTTTAACTCCTCCTTCACCCAAATATTTGGGAATTATTACTATGACTACTGCCATTTTACAGCTGAGGAAATGAGGCTTAAGTTGCTTGCCAAAGGTTAGCAGTGTTGAAAGAAGCAGGACTGTCATTGCAACCTAGATTTTTTGAATTTGGAAATTAAGTCCTTAACTATTTCTCCCTGATATATGTATTGATAGCCTATTTTTTCTTAGCAAAATTTGATGATTTTTTTTTTTACCTTCTTAAATTTTGTTGAAAATAAAGAATTGGAAAGCACTTCATTTGCTTTGTTTCTAAAAGATTTTACCAAGATTTATGAAATAACTAAGAGGTACTTTGTTTAACCCAGTATATTGAGCAGGAATGGGAAAATGGAAATAGTGCTAATTTAAATACATATTTACTAATATAGTATCTTTTGTACATTCTGCAAAAGTGTTATAGCTCCAGATTGAGCTCAATTAATTTATAGGAAATATCTGCCACATAAACTTATTGACAAAGTCGTTTCTTGTTGTCAAATCAGTAAAGTCAGAAAGTCTTACATTCTATCAGAAAGTCTGACCTCAAATAAATGTGTTAATGATCATTCCCATAACACTTCTGAATTCTAAAGTCTGGAGGTAGGCACCGTGAGTCTTCTGGATGAAATACAGTGCTGCCATCCTCCATATTTCTTTCCATTGCCTTGTTACTTTGCTTTCACTAAGTTCTCTTCATTACTTTGTTCTCAAGTCTATTCTTTGATAGTAGGCAGGGCCTGGAAGAGATGTGGTCGTTAAGCAAAAATTGTCCTTTCTTTCATTTTCCCACTCTTCAATCTGTCTGAATTCAGAACATCCCAACAAGAGTCAAAATACCCATCTCTAAAGGATGCTACACTCTCAAGAAATATATTGAAGACACAGAAGGACATAAAGCACTGCTGGGTTAACAGTTCCTTGACTAAAGGAAGTTTCATTTATATCAGCATTTCAGACTTTTTTGTTTGGTACTCTGGAGACTAATGCTCTCCTGGCCAATATTCTATTGTCTCCTCTGTTAAATGGGAAAGGGCTATACTGAAAGGGGAGGCACATTGACAAGAGGCACTATAGAGCAAGTCAATTTTAAGAAAGACTACAGACTGAGAATCACGGACAGATAACTTTAAAATTACCCATGCCTTTATGCTCCACAGGATCCATTCTCTGCAGCCCCCAGGGCTACATATACCCCAGTTTGGAGGCTGCTGGTATATACTACCTGCATCTACTCTTCCATCTCCTCCCTGCTTCTTCAATCCAGGGCCATTCTATCCTTGACTTTAGTCAACGACTGAGAGGTCTATAATGAATCCCTAATTTATTAACCAATTGCCTTTGCTCAGACCTTGTCTTACTAGATATATCTGAAAATGCAAACACCTACCCTAGCTAAGGAGAAAAAAGTGAGAGGAAGGTAAGGGGGAAAGAGAAAGAACAGAAAAGTGAAAGGAACAAAAATTGTCTTAGCTTGTGGAACATGCCAACATATCTTGCACAGGCCTTGAGTTTTGCCACTTCTGTGCTCTTATTTTTCTGTTTCACCTTGTTATGCTTCAGCGTGGCAATGCCTTCCCTTCCTATCTACCCATTTAGGTTTCAAGGACCAGCACATCCATGAAGTGAGATTTTGGGGGGGGGGGCGTGGGGGACCGGTAAGGGGATCGTAACCCTTGACTTGGTGTTGCCCGCACTGCGCTCATGAGTGCACCGGCCATCCCTATATAGGATCCGAACCCGTGGCAACAGCTCCGCTGCACTCCCAGCGCCGCACTCTCCCGAGTGAGCCACGGGGTCGGACCCATGAAGTGAGAATTTAATTGCTCTTCCTTTCACACCCTTGTTCTTGGCTTATACTATAATTTTTAATGTTTAAATAACCATAATGCTTTCCATTATGCTTTCTTATTATGATTATTTAAATATTTGTTTCCTCTCTGTCTTATTTTTTTTAGTGTGCCATGTAGTTAGTAGGTATCTTCATTTTGATTGAATTGAATTTGTCTCTGATACATATTTTCTTCATAGATGCTATACTGGAGTTCGTAAATAGCCCTCCTTGATGTGCCCTGTTACTGTGTAATTACTCTGTTTCATGATTATATCTTCTGTCAGTAATCTCAACAAGCTAAGGTTTTTATTACTTCTCTCTTGCTCTGCCCAGGAATCAAAAAGATCAGAATCTCTTATGGACATTCATAATAAAAAGTTAAAGAATAAGGCTGCTGAAGATAAAAATAAGCCCCAAGAGAGAATACCATTTGACCGTGATAAGGATCTCAAAGTTAATCGGTTTGATGAAGCTCAGAAAAAAGCCCTAATAAAGAAATCTAGGGAACTAAACACCAGGTTTTCACATGGCAAAGGCAATATGTTTTTATAAGTAAGTATCTTTCAGTGAGGTATATTTTCATACTGATTAATTTGAACTTTTCTAAATACTCTGTTGTCTATAATAATTGTATGCTAAAATCTATTTCCATTTATAATAGAATACAAACCTATCTTTTTTTATAAGTAAACTGTGATTTTAGAAAAGTCAGCCTTGTGAGATAAAAAAAAATACAGCTTACTGGAAAAATAGCCTTGCCCTCATAATAACCTAATAGGGCATGGCTATTAAAAATGTTAAAAGTTCAGTTTATGAGAAATGGCAAAGGAAATGTGGTGTGAACATTTATTGAATATGCATGCTTTATTAAAGAATGAAGAAAGGTTTTCTGGTAGTTTTTATGTTAAACAAAATCACAACTAGAAAATGTTCATTGCTTTGAAATTTTCTCTATAAATTAAGGTTCAAAACTATTATGTCATTTATCCATAGCCCCATCTGACAAGAGTTCATAAATGGTGATTAAGGAATTACATAAGAGCTGAGGTTGCTTCTTAAAGTCTGTGATTTTTAATTGTATGAAACCTACATCAATATTCAAATGTGATTTTAAAAGAAAATGTAGTTAAACTTAGAAATATTTTCCAACTTACTGAATTTTCTTATTCTTACCTCAGGGGGATTTCCCTGTACAAGGAAGAAAAGTTGAAGAATACTCTTTTATCTGTCCACCTTTATTCCTTTGTTTTGAGCTTCTTGAGATTAGAGATTACTTTAATCTTAAAAATCATACAAACTTAACCATATTCTGTGTGTCCTTTAAGGTCATGTGGAAACATAAAATCAATGTTTCATATATAGAATATCTTGTGTGCCTTTGGCTTCTGAGGAAGTATGGGCTTCAGATAATTAATTTTGAAGGTGTACCGTCACCCCTTGATGATTTTTGTGGTGTCTCACAAGTCCCTTCTAGGATCTGGTCAGGACTGTACCCTGACTGCCACAGCTGGGCCCTTCTTGTCTGAGACACCTAACCTTCCCTGCAGTAAGTATGTCAGGCAGGTCCTTGCAGTAAATCCATGAATTTGAAATTGGTTGGTTTTTGCCTCTAAACTGCAGCCAGTGAATACACAGTTACTTGAAAATAGAGGGTATGGGGTTTTATCTGATTTATTATCAGTTTGCTTGTGTTGGCACTCAGGGCATTTTATTTGTTGTTTGTTTTTTTCAGTTTGTTTATTTTTAAGTCAGAAAGAAGGATCCCTGAGTTATCTCACGTGCTAAGGAAAAACTATTTTGATTTTTCCAACTTCAATAAGTATTTCAAGGGGAGGCAGTCTGAGGGACAAGATATGCCATTAACTGTTAGCAGTGTGAAATTGTCTTAGTCCATTTTGTGTTGCTATACCTGAGACTGGGTAATTTATATAAATAAAATCAAATTTATTGCTTACAGTTTCTAATGGTGGGAAGTCTAAAGTCCATCTGGTGGTGGTGACAGTGACCCAGGTCTCTCACATTGCAAGATGTTGGAAGCAGAGAGAGAAGAGAGAAAGACAGACTCTCCTCTTCTTTTGAAGCCCTCAGAACCATGCCCCTGACCACCATTTTTAATCCATTCACTACTGCATGGTCCTACAATCCAATCACCTCTTCAAGGCCCCACCTTACAATTACCATAATAGGAGTTCCCACCCTGTTAACAGGGTGGGGGCTAAGTTTGTAATACATAAAACTTGGGGGATATAATTCAAGCTTCATTGAGGTTTGGGGGGACATAATTCAATCCACTACAGAAATCTTTAGGACTTGATTTCTATGATCTCATCCAAAGCTTTCTGAGTCTTAGAACTTTGCTTTGGGATGATCTCACTTTACCCATTTTTATATTTTGCAGTTTGTAGCTAATTTAGTGGTGTCAGGTCTTTTATATCAATCATGAATAACTTTTTTTAAAAAGAAAGCAAACTAATAGTCCCTGAATACAAAATGGAAATGGAAAATCTGTAATCATAACCACCCTAATGGGAATATTATAAGTTTGTAATGCTTAAGCACTGCCTTTTATGATATTAAACAAAAACTTCTAAATAGTTAAGCCAAAATGCAAATTCTATAAATTATATTTTCTTGCAGATTAATCCCAATTGTTCTGCTAGTTCTGTGTTCTAGTTTTGACGAAGCATGAGGTTTTGATGAAAAAATATTCTGATTCCCAGTTCATGTAAGCTTTATGAAGATTTAAGTAAACTGAATTCAAATTATAGTACAAATTATTCTTTTCCTAATAATAGCAGTACAGTGGTATTTTTCCATAACATCAATGTAAACAGTAACCTACTAAAGGAATGTTGCTATTAAAGATAAATTATTCTCCTAAGCAAGTTGAAAAAGCTTCTTGTCTAATCAGAATTGAACAGAGCTACCTTTTAATTAAAGATGTCATTTTTAGTGGGTAATATTTTCTGAACACAACACTTTGTACAAGAGTATCCATTGTGTTCATTAAATTTTGTTATAAATTTTTTTTCCCAATGAAAAGAAAAAATGTTTTCTAGTTTCATAGCCTTATGTAAATTTCTAACATTTGTGAAATTTGGTATTTTTAAAGTAAAAATGTCATTTTTGGTTACTTACTTTTGCTTTGCTTTCCTCATTTGAAGGTGATAGGGATATTAATATATTGCATATTTACTATTTCTTTCCTCACCTTTGGAGTGTCTGTGACCTTGGCATAAGGGTGAGAAGCCTCTCCTTTCTGCCTAATACTTCCCAGAGTCATTACCTTACTGGTACCTCAGAGCTAATGCTCTTTTATGCCATCCCAAGGACAGTTTTAACAAAACGTAAGCCAAGTTCCAGAGATTTTTTTACCTGGTGGAGAGACTAATCCCAATACAACCACACTGACAATGAAAGAACAAGTAGTTACTCGCACAGGATGGAAAGGATTTCTTCATTTCATCCCCTCCCCTCTTCTGAAGCTGCACAGGGCCTAACTGAATCAAATCTCCTGTCCATCTGGCAGAAAACTGGGATTTTTTTTATATTTCCTATTAAGAACTTTTTAATTTCCTAGCCAAGTTTTATAGGACTGTTACTTCTTTTGAAATTTAGAAATGAAAAAGAAAAAAAGAGCAACACTATATCCATAAAATAGAACATAGAACAGAAACTTTAACGTTCTTTACCAATGAAGGTGACATTTAAGTTTAATTAAGTACCTGAAATTATACAATTTTCTTCCGCTTTCTAAATTGTTGAATAGATTTAGATGCTTCAAATAGTAACCATGTTACTGGTAAGTAAATGGTGGGGTTATTGGGTTTACAAGGTGGGGAAATAGGGAAGAAAGGGGGAACAAAAGATGAGAGATGGTGGCTATACCTATAAGATGTTTTATCAGATAAGTTAAATCATTTTGTATTGAGCAAAACATAGAAAATTAAGCCCTGCTCTCAAAAAAAAAAAAAAGCCATGGTCTTACTGAGACTTTTATTTTATTTTTTGGGGGGGGACCGGTAAGGGGATTATAACCCTTGGCTTGGTGTCGGCCGCACCGCGCTCAGCCAGTGAGCGCACCTGCCATCCCTATATAGGATCCAAACCCGCGGCCTCAGCGCTGTGCCGCTGCGCTCCCAGCACCGCACTCTCCCAAGTGAGCCACGGGTTCGGCCCTTACTAAGACTTTTAAATTTGTTTTGATGTATCAACCACTTGACATTTAATTTATCACTTTAACATTTAGTGATTCATTGAATTAATGATTTTTTTTAGAAGTGGAGATTTGCACAGTACTGAAGCCTACGTGCTCCAGAATATATTAACAGTTATTATATGAATTATTTGATCCCACAACTTTATGGCGCTTTTTGTTTCTCACATACAGTATAATGTTAATATTATTATTCCAAAATGTAGGATCACGGGAGATAGTGTTTAAACTAGTCACAAGAGGCCCTTTAACACTTCTCTTTTCACTTTTTCCATGGTAATGATAGGTACTATTAGAAAAAAATTCTTTGCTGAGTTATACCTGAGAGGAAGAATTAACGTGGAGGGAAGTGATTGGAGATGGTACCCATGTAACATCAACAGCCAAGTCTTCTATTTCAGAATATTATTTTATTTTGCTTCGCTTTTGAAGCCATTGTGAGATTTAAGTCTACAGTTACAAAAGCTTGTGCTACTGTAGAAGAGGTATATTTTTTTTTGAAACTTACAAAATTAACTGTGGCTTGTGATATGTATAAAATTAAAGCTGGTCACTGCTGCTTTCAATCTTTTCATTTTGAGCTTTACAATTAAAAAACTTTTTAAAAAAGAAGAATTCCTGAAGTGTAATTTTTTAATGTATAAATAAAGTTTCATCTATATCTGAGAAGTTGTGGTCTTTATTTTTGTTTTGTTTTATTGGAATATTATTAGCTTTTCTGAAGCAGGCAATATTGGTCTAGAAAATATTCTATAAAGATTTATTCTAGCTAATCAGATTATCGTGGGCTATTATGAATGAAAAAAAAAGTCTTTCGCCCCAACTTGCTTGCCAGGTTTTCATTATCCCACTATAACTACAACTATTACTTATTTATTCAGAAACACAAGACAAATGGAAATGCTCGTAAGAGCACCATGGCACAAGAGGGGCTGGCACTGGGTTATAACCAAAATTCTATTGTTCTTCGTGTCTCAGGATATGTGACATGGGTGGGGTTTTTTGTTTGTTTGCATTGATTTTGAGTGTTTTTTGTTTTGTTTTGTTTTTAATCTCTCTGCTTCCCAAACTGGAAGTGACCAAAGGAGATATTTGGAATCTAAGAGCTAAGATATACTTTGCAATATAAGAGCTAAGCATTCCTAAGCATCTTAGGAATCTGAACATGTAGGATCAAAGAAAGAGAGCCTTGATTTCTCAGATCATTTCCACATAGTAAGTATTTCATGAGGAACTCATGTTTGTTCATCCATTCAGTAAACATTTGTTAAGTGCCCCAGTGTGTGCTAGGTGCTAGGAACACAATAGTGAGCCAGGCAGGTATAGTCCTCCTTGAGAGGAGGTTCTGTGCTGGTCACTACAGAGTATTCACAGGTAAGCAGAGCAGATTCCCTGCCCCATGATTTTATATTCTAGTGGGAGAGCAGAGAAAGAGCTGGATAAAGAAGATCAAGTAATTGCAAATTGTGATAGATGTTACAAAGAAAACAGGGTAGTGAGAGACTGGAAGAGGTGGTTGAAGATGGGAATCCTATCTAGGTAGAGTGATTAGAAAAGTCTCTGAAAATGTGTCATTTAAGCTTGTTGGAGTGAGCAGCACTGAAGCCATGTTGGGACCTAAAGCTGCCTGGGCTGCGGGGTGTGGGGGGAGGATTTTCAAAATGACAGTTT